ATTTAGACTTTAGAATACAGTAAATTTATTTCAATTATAACTTTAAAAAAAATTAAGTTAAAGCATTTTATTTTTACTTAATTTAAAAATAGTTTTAATTTATAAAATATCTTAAATTTTGAATTAAACTTGATTTGCATATATAAAAGGTAAAATCAAATTGGGAATGATGGAGCTTCTACTATTGGTACAGCACTTGGTAACTGCAAATTGCTAACTAATCTTATATTTTACATTCAGTAAAATAATTTTTTATTTATTTATTGATAACTAAAGAAGTTTGAGTTATTTTATACATTTTGATAGAAATTTCAAAACAAATTTAAATAGTCAATAAATAAATTTATTTTATTTGAAAAGTGAAAATTAAATTGGAGATAATGGAGCATAAAATATTGGATTAGGTTTGAGTAAGTGTACTTAACTTAAAAATTTAGACTTTATAATACAGTAAATTTATTTCAATTATAACTTTAAAAAAAATTAAGTTAAAGCATTTTATTTTTACTTAATTTAAAAATAGTTTTAATTTATAAAATATCTTAAATTTTGAATTAAACTTGATTTGCATATATAAAAGGTACAATCAAATTGGGAATGATGGAGCTTCTACTATTGGTACAGCACTTGGTAACTGCAAATTGCTAACTAATCTCATATTTTACATTGAGTAAAATAATTTTTTATTTATTTATTGATAACTAAAGAAGTTTGAGTTATTTTATACATTTTGATAGAAATTTCAAAACAAATTTAAATAGTCAATAAATAAATTTATTTTGTTTAAAAAGTGCAAATTAAATTGGAGATAATGGAGCATAAAATATTGGATTAGGTTTGAGTAAGTGTACTTAACTTAGAAATTTAGAATTAGCATTAGTGTAAATTTATTCCATTCCATTTATAATTTTTTTAAAAAAATTAAGTTAAAGCATTTTATTTTTACTTAATTTAAAAATAGTTTTAATTTATAAAATATCTAAAATTTTGAATTAAACTTGATTTGCATATATAAAAGGTAAAATCAAATTGGGAATGATGGAGCTTCTACTATTGGTACAGCACTTGGTAACTGCAAATTGCTAACTAATCTCATATTTTACATTGAGTAAAATAATTTTTTATTTATTTATTGATAACTAAAGAAGTTTGAGTTATTTTATACATTTTGATAGAAATTTCAAAACAAATTTAAATAGTCAATAAATAAATTTATTTTGTTTAAAAAGTGCAAATTAAATTGGAGATAACGGAGCATAAAATATTGGATTAGGTTTGAGTAAGTGTACTTAACTTACAAATTTAGACTTTAGAATACAGTAAATTTATTTCAATTATAACTTTAAAAAAAATTAAGTTAAAGCATTTTATTTTTACTTAATTTAAAAATAGTTTTAATTTATAAAATATCTAAAATTTTGAATTAAACTTGATTTGCATATATAAAAGGTAAAATCAAATTGGGAATGATGGAGCTTCTACTATTGGTACAGCACTTGGTAACTGCAAATTGCTAACTAATCTCAAATTTTACATTGGGTAAAATAATTTTTAATTTATTTATTGATAACTAAAAAAGTTTGAATTATTTGATACATTTCGATAGAAATTTCAAAATAAATTTAAATAATCAATAAATAAATTTATTTTTTTTGAAAAGTTCAAATTAAATTGGAGATAGTGGAGCATAAAATATTGGATTAGGTTTAAGTAAGTGTATTTAGCTTACTAATTTAGAATTTAGCATAGAGTAAATTTATTTCATTTATAGCTTTTAAAAAAAATAAGTTAAACTATATTATTCAAACTGAATCTAAAAATATTTTTAATTTATAAAATATCATATAAAGCGAAAAGTGTGGTCTAGTACCAAATTTATTTTTAGACTTTCTTTTTTTTAAAAATATTATTAATTTATTGAAAAAAAGCAAGACCAAAAAAAAAAAATCTGGTGCCAGGCCACACTTTTCCCTTATATAATATCTTAAATTTTTAATTAAACATGATTTTCATTAATAAAAGCAATAATTAAATTGGCGATGATGGAGCTTCTACTATTGATACAGTACTTGGTAACTGCAAATTCCTAACAAATCTCAAATTTAACTTTCAGTAAAATTATTTTATATGTATTTATTGAACACTAAAAAAGTTTAAATTATTTTATATATTTTGATTTAAATTTAAAACAAATTTAAATACTTAATAAATTGATTTATTTTATTTGAAAAGTGGTAATGAAATTGGTGATAAAGGAGTATAAAATATTGCATTAAGCTTGAGTAACTGCACTTAACTTAAAAATTTAGCTTTTAGCTCAGAGTAAATTTTATTTATTACTTTTCAAAAACATAATGTTTTAAAGTTTTTAAGTTTTTATTTAAAATATCTTTATTTTATAAGTAATGATGAGAAGTTTCTAAAATCCAGAGAAATTATCAACTGTAAAAATATAAAGTTATTGAATATATTTATCAAGTAATTACTTTTTTTTTGCTTAAAATTAGATAATTTTAACTAAAATTTTTTTCATTATCTAAAAAATAAATTTATATTTATTATTAAAAGTGAATTGCCTTAATAAAGAAAAACATAAATCAAAAGATTAGCTCAAAAAATAAAAAGATTAGTAAAACTAAAAATAGATTGAATTTACTAAAATCAATAATTTAATATTTATTTATTGATAGTATGATTAAAAATAATTGATTAATAAATAATTAATAAACATGGTTTTTTAATATTAAATGTAATTATTTATTTTTTATATCCATTTTATTCATTTTTTAATTTATACTTCTTCTTTATTAAAGATTTCAAAATTTTTGGGCTCCCTCAACAACCTTTTTGGTTAAGCTTGTCGAGGAATCGCGTAGTATTTGCTTATTATAATGTAAAAATCGCTTAAAATAAATGAAATCGAACATTGGATTCATAATTTAGAACTAAATAGATATATTAATTAATTAATTTTCACTTAATAAAAACTTAAATAATTTTTTATTTTCTAAATTATGGATTTTCATTATATCAATATATTTAATATACAATTATTTATTGAGTCAAAGTTCTTTTCAATTTTAATTTCAAGTGTTAAAGTTAGAAAAACATAATCAATAATTTACAATCCATCCACTTGTATAAAAATAACTAAAACCATTTAACTCCATTTTTAAATCTCCAACCTTTCATTAAGGTAATGCTTACTAAAAGAGTATTATTATTAACAATTGGATTAAAGTAAAGCCTAAAACGTAGTTTTTGACTTCCATTAATGTGAAGAATTAGATTAATTACACTCATTTTTAAGCTAATATTTTACTCGTTGTTTTTAAAAAATAATTTCACAAATTTTAAGATAAGATTTGCTTTTAATTCAGTTTTAAATATATTTATAAAATTTTTAGCAACTCCTATTACTATTATTTAGTTAAGTGTTTGGTTTTTTCACATCCATTTTTATGAATTGATTTGATTTTATATCAAATAAATATTTTTTAAATGTTAATAAGCTTTGAAATTGTATCGTCTTTAAGTTAAAAATGGTATCAGTAAAATTACAAATACAAAGAGTAAATGATATATATTTTAATAATTTTATTAATTGATTATAATAGATTATTAAATTAAACAGTTAAAAATCAGATATATTTTAAAAATCGACTGAAAATATTTAAATGAATGTATGTATGTATGTATGTATGTATGTATGTATGTATTCATTAGTTTTATAATAGCTCCTGCTTTTCTTTTCAAAAATTAAAAGCTTGATTGAGTTTTAAAAATAATCAGATTAACTGGTTATTTTCTATAATAAACTAATTTTTCTTAATAATAATAGAATGATTCACCAAAACTAATTTATTTATTAATAATAAAAATTAGAATTATATTTTATTGCATAAATGTATAAAATAATTACATAGGACTAAAGTTTCATTACTGATTTATAAAATTGTTTTAATAATAAGATATTATTTAAAAAGTAAATGTAAATTATTTATATGAATTTATTGATTTATTTGTTATGTAATGGTTACTGCTTTATTTTTCAAAAATTAAAGGCAGGATTAAGTAAGAAAAAATCAGATTAATTGACTGATTTTTATCTGTAATCATCAAATTCTTTTTTAATAATAAATAATAAATAATAAGAGATAGATACTATGAATTATAATGTTCTGAAGCTAATAAATATATAAAGAACTTTAATTACAAAAATAAATGCAATTAAAAATACTATTTTAAGCATTATTTTTAATTATAAATTATAGATGGTTTTATGGGTACTAACTAGTATAAATGCATGCAGAAATAGATGTAATAGTGGGCGATAATCTTGATAATATGTTTTGCATTTAATTAAATATTTATCTGTAAGATTTTTGTATCTTAAATAAGTTTTTGAAGGATTTATTTATTTAGTTAATATTAATTAAAATCTAATGTAAGATAAATTCAAATTCTTTTAATTTATTTTTTATTTGCTTTGCAACTTATTTATTCTTAAATCCCATACATTTTTTACAAGCCCAGCTATTAAATGCAATTTTAAATGAAAAAATAATAAATAGCATTTAATTGATTAAAAAATATTCTGGAATTGTTCTACTAATCAAAAAGAAAAATTAATTAAGAGGTTAACTTGAAAAAGGAGGTTTGTTTGCCTTTCAAATTTTGTAAAAAATTAATATTCTTTGAATTTCTTACTTTAAGTGAATGTAAAATCGAAGAATTTTAATTTTTTGCAAAATTTGAAAGGGAAACCTTCCTTTTCAAGTTAACCTCTTAATTAATTTTTCTTTTTGATTAGTAGAACAATTATAGAATATTTTTTAATCAATTAAATGCTATTTATTATTTTTTCATTTAAAATTGCATTTAATAGCAGGGCTTGTAAAAAAAGAGTGGGATTTAAGTTTTGAATAACTTGCATACAAAAAAAAGGCATAAGAAATCAATTCACAATTTTATATTTATTTAATCACAAAAATTTATTAACCTAAATCTCCTAAAAATAAATTGAATAAACAAACCAACAATGAAAACTTAGAAAATTAGAGCATTTCTCTTGGTTATTTTATAAAGTCTAATATTAGATTAATAAATTTTGTAAAAAAATAATTTATTTATTTATTTATTTTAATAAATAAACAGTCTTAAAATACTTATATGCTGTAGATTACTATAATTGCAGCCAAATATTAGTAAATAATACTGGTTTGAATCCAAAATGTAAATAAATTCCATTTAAATTATTGTTTTATTATTAAATCATTTTTTATAAACATAAAGTTAGTTATTGTATAATTAATTATGTAGTACCTGCGTAGCAATCTGATATAGATAGCATGAAAAAATATTTCTCAGACATGAATTGTTTAAATTTAAATGTTTTTTCATAAGACTAAAAATAATACCTATCAGGAAGTAGTTGTAATTCAAATAGTGAAATCATAATAAAATATACTCCTGAAACCCCGTAAAAAAAATAATTAAAAAAACAAAAATTATGAGAGCAATCAATATTTAAATCTTTTCCTAATCAAAAATTTATTTTAGATTAATTTATTTTTAAAATCAAAAATAGAATTAACGATGTTTTAATTTTTTATTCTTCTTTTATTCTCAAAATATTTTATTAATAAAAAAGGAATACAGTAATAAATTCCTATTATTTTGCTATTACTATAAATTTCAATATGCCTCCTAACAATGATTTAAAATCAATAGTTGAAATAAATGAAGTATCCTATCAAAGTTAATATGGATATACTTCATTATCGAATCTTTAAGGCTATTCTACTAATTACTTAACTGTGCTTAATTAATAATTAAATATAGATAGTTTAACAATTAAATTAAAGCCAAATATTGGAATATAATATCAAATGTATTTTTGGTATATCGGTCTATTTGTTTAATTGGTAAATTTAATTTTTAAATTTGTTAATAGATAGAGAGAGATGTTTTTTTTTTTGATAAATTAGAATGTCAAAAATTATTTATTTATTTAATATCATGAAAAACTTTTCTTTAAATTTTTAAAAATGAATTCTCACTTAAAAATATTTATTTAATATAATATAGTGCCAAATAAACTGTTAAAAGTGTGATTATAATTAAGTATGCTAATAATGTTTTTCTGGATATTATTATGAGCAAAATACAAACTAGTGTATACCTTGTGATAAAAATTAATTTGTGAATTAATTCAACTAGTGCTAGTTATGTAATCCAGCCTGTTAAACTTGTAATGGTCCAAATCCAGACAATTGCTTATCTTGCAATCCTGGACTGTATTATTACAACAAAAATTGTGTTAGCTTATGTCCAAATGGATTTTAAAGTAATTTTAATACTCTCACATGCGATTCATGCTAAAATTATTGGAGCCTATAATGCAATCCCTGCTATGCCAACTGTAAACAATGTGATTAGTCATAGATTTAAAATTAATAATGCCAGACTTGCTATAATGAAACAAGATAAATAGATGTTTAAAGTAATAGATGCATTTGCAAAAACTAAAATGATTAAAGGAATATATTTTATTAATGCAGCTATGAAAATATTGCTGTCATTGATGCAAAATTAAGTGCTACATCTCCATAACTTAGTATTGATTTGGGATCTTCATTGATGAATATCATATCAAATACGCCTTAGTCTTTGTGCTCATAGGTATTTGACTAAGCAACATTAGGCAAACTTGGGTTAGATTCTTCATGCGAAATTAATGGGAATAAAATTTTGGTCAATTTAAGTAACTTAAATTTATTAAATATTAAAAAATTTAACTCATTAAACTTCTTTATACTCTCATTTTTAAATATTTTATTCTAAATTTTATTTTATTTTAATAAATAGGTGACTCATCGACAATCATGGAAAATGACTCAATTAATCTATTGCCAAATAAGCTGCAGTTTGTAGATTATACAGACACTTTCATTAATATATTTTATAGAAACATTACTTTCTAAGATTCCCCTGGAATCCCTTAACTTTAATTTAGCTATAATCACATATAAAACAGCTGTAATCCTATAAATATAACTCTTTATAGTATTCAAAACGATGCAGGAAGACAATTTATGAGTCTAAATTGGACTTTAAATCAAATTGTAGGTTCCATAAGCAGCAAGTAGTAAGAAAGTATAAAGGAAATATTATTAAAAGCAAGCTAAAACAAAAACACTAGTTTGATTATAGACCCTAAATTCTTACCACCAAATATTAACATAACAATATAATTTAGTTATTTACTTAAGGTTAACTAAGCTGGTACTTAAATGTTCACAATTATTTATTAAAAATAAAAATTTATAAGAGTCAACTATTAGCAATCTTTGTACCCACCAATTTATAGGTTAATTTTTCTTTTTAATGAATTATTTATTTTTATAAATTAATCTTAAAATAATAAATAAATAAATAGATCTATGAGCTTGAGTTTCTACTTTTAATTTTACATAGAGACATGCGAGTTAGGCCAAATAACTTTTTTTAATGAGCCTGTTGATTTACAACTTACTTCTAACCAGCTTTAAAAGTAAAGCCTAAGTCAATACATCTAATCAAGCTTTCAATATGATATTCCCCCTTACTCCTTAGCATCTAACTAAACTTTTAATATCAGTGTAAATTTTTTGTGATTATAGAAATACCATCATAATATTTAAACTAATTTATCAAATTTCCTTTAAAGGTTAGATAAATATAAATAATATTTCTAAAAATTTTTTAATTAATTTAGCAATAACAGAATTGTAATTAATTTATTAAAAAAATAAATATTATTTTGAGTGAAAAATAATAGTCCCATATAATTTATAAAGTGAAATTGAATTTAATATTCCAATTTAAAATAAACCTCTTCAAAACAAATAACTCAAATATTAATAATATTTATTT